TTTTGTGACTAATATTATATTTATTGTAATGCCTTGACGTTATATCATTTTATTATTTTATAAATTTTAATTAGTATTAATCAAGTATTTAAAAAAATGTTTATTTATGGTAGTAATCATTAGAGCCGAAAAACTATCTGTCATATGTCGTTACGAAAGACAAAACTTGCGTACGAAGCCTGGAATTAAATGCACCAAAAGATATAGTAACAGTATATCTGCAGGCAGGAGATATAATCTCTCATTATGTATCTTATTTATTACATACTATGTAGTAACATGCTTAGTAAAGCAATCATATTTGTTATATGATGCTTTGTTTATTAAGGTGTGGTATTCCAGTATAATTATAAACGTGTCAAGCTAAGTAGGTATTATGATAAGCATCCATTTAAGTCTAATGTATATATATATATATAGTCTAATGTATCAGTCAGCAGCACATTATTTGATTATGGAGCCAGTGTTACTCAGGGATATAGGGAAATAATTTTTAAAATCTTTCCCGTTCCCGTTCGTTACAAATATACAAATCTTTTCTCTTCATAATTAGTGATACAAATATGTGATAACTATCGATAGGTACTGATTTTATTAAAAAAATTAAGTAGTTTATCTATTGACTTGTCGGAAATTAAGTAACAAATCATAGATATTGAAATGACTAGATATCACTTATACGGCTTATTAAAATGATTATTATCCGCATTATTATCTAAAACTTAAACATGTCATTCTTTTTAAAATTATTTAAATAAACAAATCCTTTTAAAATACGTCACTTTGGTAATGCAATAATTTATTGTTCGAAGTTATAACCTTTCTTTGTAATGTCTTTGCCGTAAATAACTCTTTATGATCAAATGTAAAGGTAACTTAGTCATACGAATATTTGAGATATTTCTGTAATGATTCATATTGCACCATATTTACTTATCGGTAATGTAATAGGAAGTATTGGAAAGCTTGTATTATTAGATAAAATATTAATAAAATAATATTGTATTAATATTATTTTCGTATGTTTGTTTAATCAGCTTAATAAATAATTATAATTATTTAGAAAGCTGCATTTAAGAGTAATACCAATATGTTTATTGAAATAAACTAGTGCACTACGAAACTATTGCTATCTGAATAAGTCATTGTTGACTTACTTAACTTTAAAAATATGTTTAAGATCATATGTGGTCTTGTAGAAGTTAGAACTCATAACCTATTTACAAAATCTTATTAAGGTATTTTCGATCAAACAAACTAATTGATTTCTCTTTTGCAAAATGCGGCTGCGATGCATGTTAGAAACTGGAACCTATTGGATTGTTTGTCTTTAAAAAACAAAGGATTGATAGATATTTTTTTTATTTCGGATAACTAAATAATTATCTACTGCACAGACGTGCCCACCCATAGGCCACATCTCACTTAACATCAGGTGAGATTATGGCCAAACGTCTGTCCAGTTCTGTATAAAAAGTATTAAGTATTATTGTGAAGAACAAATTAATTATTGGTCTCCAATTTCATAAAGCCTTACCCACGTCGTAAGCTACAATATACTTAAACTACTACAAACTCTATTGTCAAAATGTAAAACGCCTGTTAAAAATTCAATAGCAATTTTAGCGAAAGTCGGTTATGCGGATATAAGCGATATGAAGCTAAGTATTTGCTTCGGAACAATAAGCGATGTAGTTTGCCGTGTCACCCCGCGCCAGACATGTGGGAACAGCGCACATGCGCCGAGAATTCCCGACGAGTCTACAATACCCAACAGTGCGGCTAGTATAGGTTTATCGAATAAACGAAAACGTTCGTGAATATCTAAAACAGTCCTGTAATTGTGATCCTTCAACATTTTGCTTATTTTTATGTTGTGCAACTGGGTCATTTCGATAGAACCTGAGATAATCAAATTTAAAGGGGATAGTCTTTAAATAAATCTCGTACTAGCCTGCCTCTTCGAATCTGGCTACGGATCCGGATTTTGGCTACGGATCTGCGTGTGCCTCGACACGTACAAATGCTTACTTCCCGCTTATAAATCGGATCCTATTCGGATAGTCCTCTGTTAAGGCCATTTGTGAGATAAACAAGTCCAAAAAGATGTATGATGCCTGTTGTAAAGTTTGACTTTAATTTTTAAGTATAATATTTTATATCGTGGTATATTCTAAGATTATATTTTTGTGATGATTAAAAAATAGTGCGCCCTTTAAAATGTTTAACAGGATTGGTTTAAGTAAGAACACACAAGTTATTCCTTAGCGAAAAATTTATAGGCGAATAAAATTTTGTATATTTTTGAAATATTTGCTATAACTCTAATTTAAACGGTCGTGCAGGGAGCACACCATATACTTAGTCTGGCCATAAATACTGATAAAAATAAACAATTAAAAACAAACAAAATATTACATTTGAATTTGGAATCTGTCATTTTTATATGATTGTTCATTGTGTTTTCTAATTTTGGCGCCAATACATTGTGATGCGATATTAAAATGGAATGGATGATAAGAGAACCGAATCGCTGTGATTGCATTATGGCGCGTCTAAACGGGCCATGTTTTGCTGCAATTGATGGCTGCACTGTTGGCCACTAATTACCCGGCCATTACAAAAATATTTTAATGCAGCTGATGGCCGAACAATCTATGGCTGGGCAATGTGTTGCAATAGTATGGCCCATGATGCAGACTCCTAAACGGGCTACACAAACCGGCAACAATGGCTGACGAAATCACACTTGTCGCAGCAGCTTATATTGTTTTAAAAAAGAAACAGAAAAAGAAGAGATTATGGATTCGACCTTACTTAAATAGGCGTGAAACTGTAGACAATTTGAGTCTAGAAATAAGTCTTGATAATAAATTATTCAAGAACTGGAATGTCAAAAGTAGTCATTTTTACGTAGTAATCTAACGTCAAATACAGCTGATCGCAAAACACACAATAAAGCAACAGGCACACTTCACTCAAAGCAAACGTCATGTCGCGTAGAAAAGGATACACTATGCCATAACAAAGAGAGTGACTGAAACAACAAGAGAACTGGCCGTGCAATATTGCAGTTGAATTCGATAGCCTAGCGATCGTCCGGCCACCTATCGGGGCAACATCGGCCATATGTGGCTATACAAAACATGTTTGGCTATATCCGGAACATTACTGCAATATTGCATAGTGTGGCTGATATTGTTTGCAATGTTGCCATCAATTGCAGCAAAACATGGCCCGTTTAGACGCGCCATTACACAAAGTAGGTATGGAGCCAAATGTAACTTTTAAAAATCTCCATACGCTTGGTATTACTAAAATATTTGTGTACCGGGCTATTTAAATAGGTACAATGAGATCTCAAAGGTGGTCAAAGCAGTAAGGGAAGGAATTCGAAGAAATCCTGTGCGAAAGTAAAAGATTTTATCTCGGGAAATGAAGATAGCTCCTAGAACCATGTCGCGTATTTAAAAAAGGTGACTTAGGACTTGTAGCATATAAGCAACATTTTAACAATCAAAATCACCGTATTTGACCGAGTGCAACGTGGGCACTATCCGACTTCAGTGATGGTTTGGTGGGGTATTCGCTATTAAGGATTGACTGAGCCATACTTTTGTGAAAAAGGTATCAAAACATCGGCACAAGTGCATCAAGATACCATTCTCGAGAATGTAGTTAAGCCCCTTAACAACACCATGTTCAATAACAAAGAATGGTTCTTCCAGCCAGACTCGGCGCCGAGTCATAAAGCTCGGTTTACGCAGTTGGTTGGAAACGAATGTTTCGGACTTCATCAAAGCTGAAGAATGGTCGTCGTCTAGTCCTAATTTTAATCCGCTGGATTATGTTTTATGGTCAGTTTTAGAGAGTACGGCTTGCTATAAACGCCATGATAATTTGGAGTCCCTAAATAACAATCCGTACGATTTGGAGTGAAGAATTTTCCCATGGAAAAGAGTGCATCCTTCAATTGATAACTGGCCTCAACGTTTTAAGGACTGTATTGCAGCCAATGGACACCACTTCGAATAAGCTTTTTATATTTTAAATTATTTTACATTTCTGTGTTAAATTAATACACTGTAAAAGTAATAAATTTTATTTGCAATAGAAAACAATTTTTTTCTTTGTTTCAGTATTTATGGCAAGACTAGGTATAGCCGGTATAACATATTTCTTACAATAGTTATGATCACGGTAGCGATAATATTATTTTGTTATTTGGGGTAAAGAAACACTCCGTCTATATTATTGATATTTTTTTATTACAGATAAGTGTGACAGCTTCATCAAGGCCATGAAGTAGAGAGGTGAACGTTGATAAACCAAAAAAATAAATAATAACAGATTGACTATATAGCATAAGTTTGACAATTTGCGATAAATTTATTTTAAAAATCAGCTCCTGGTTACAATGTATCATACAATTTGTTGAGACTGACGTAAGCTAACGTAGTTTAGTAGGAAATAAGATAAAATAAGGAAAATCCACAGGAAAAGTATTAATATTTTCCATTACTAACGCGCTTGACGTGTTATTCTAGACCCATTTTAAGCCAAAATTTGAGCCTCAATTTATCCTGTTTTTGTATACCTATCAATAATTCATTGATATACAAAAACAGCATTTGTCACCGATTTACATCTCAATTGTTGAGGGGGTAAAGTGCGTATTATTGTGAATTGCAAATTTAACTTATATGGCATTTATGCTAAATATGTATCTTTTTGCAAGCGTTTCAAATAGATTATTATAAGACTTAAAACATTTACTATAACATAGGGTGTGTGTGTTCTATACACTGGCCTAGTAAGGAAGGTATTAATATCATTCCTCAATACACGAATTTTATACTACATAGATACGTTATTTTATATTAAATAGATACATAATTTAACGGTTAGGTGGTACGATAAATTGGTATTTGCGCTGTTTTAATATAGGTAATTATCGATTGCTCCATTTAAAAAAAATAAACTGTAAAATTACTATATTGTCAGACAATTGTTTTTAAGTTTTCTATAAAAACGCAGGGTGGTGGTGGTTCCGAGAAATAATTGCATACTGCTTTGACTAAATTTTCTCCTTGATACTCCTCTCCATTTATAAGAACGAATGGCACATACTGGTAATTAATTTTATTGCTTTCCACTCCGTAGTATTGTAGCAGTTCTATGCCCTTTGCTCCATTTGCACATGATTTTATGGGTGTTGAATCTATTCCCATATGTGCTCCACACTGAAACGCATCAAGTATATTAATTTCAATTTTTTATTTCTGCGTCATTCATTTCGTCAACAAGTATTTATGAAAATAATGTTTAGCAGACATTCGTATTATGGTAAAGTGAAACATCGGTTTTTCACGTTCGACATAATCTGATCAAATAAACAAAACCAGAACATGTTTCGTGTCAAAATCTAATACCTTATCAGCGGCTCTGTCATCCGATCCCTCTTTTTCTTGTGAACTCTCCATCATGCAGATATTAAACTGTAACGCAGCTGTGTGATTTTTAATTATATCCAAGGCACATGCGTGAAGTTTGTTTCCGTAGCATTCTGTAGGCCCGTGTTGACATTTGAATTCCACTTTACCGTTATGTTCTTCTGTCTGTTAAACCAATATTTAGTACATCGCATGAATTAAATAGATTTTTTTTATTTATATAAGTCTATATATTTACAATAAAATATAATAAACTAGCATAGGTTCAGAAAATAATAATTAAAAATAAACAAGTGTTTTTCTATGAAAAACTAAATATCTGTCAACAATATATTTATAGATTCGTTTTTGCTTTATAAGTATTACGTGTTGATATAGGTGTAGCCAATAGGACACTTTTGACATCTGAGAGTTTTCGCTCCATAGGGTTTTCATTAAATTTTTACAATAAATTTCTTTTAATGTCAACAATAAATATATTTTATAATGATATAGTTCTAACTTCGAAAAAATAGATTTAATTTTTTAATTTTAGTTATAGTAGCATGTTATTTTTAGTAACGTTTTGTTAATTAATTATGCATTTCTTGTACTTTACCCTCTGTAGGTGGTTCTTTTTTTTATTGTTCCATACTAGGGTTGCCTGGAAGAAATCGCTTGTTAGCGATAAGGACGCCCGTTGTCTAATAACTTATGTAACCTACTTAGTTTTTGTTTTTTATATGTATAATTATGTGTATTATGGCAATGAAATATAAATAAATACAAAAATGATTATATTCGTTATAAGGTTATTGAATATTGAAGTATCAAATGTGATATAAGTAATTAAACTTTGAAAATGACGGATTTTCTACAGTTTTATATATTACCTTAGCATTTCCGTACGGATAAGTTTGAATATCAAGATACTCATTCATCTTAACGACCGTTTCATTAAATTCAGTGGTCTCAAACTCTCTGCAACCTGGACAGTGGCATTCGTAGAATAATTGTATATTTACTTTCTGTTCCGTGTACGTCTGCAAAATATAACAAATATTAGATAAGTATTTGTTATACGAATTATTATATAATACATAGGAATATTTATATACCTTGTCTGGAATAAAATGCATTAAATCGTCGTCAACAGTAGGCGGATCTTCCTCAAGCCAGGGCTTAAATGGTACATCTGTAAGAACTGTATAAGGATATACATATATGGTATATACTATAATTACAATATTTACTGAATTTAATAAGCCTCAAGTGATATTTTGTTTGACTTGTCCTGTTGTATAGATTTGTTTTTAACTTGACATATGACCAAAACAGAAGTAAAACATATTTGTAACCTTATTTATATTTAACGTCAAAATCTTATCGGTCAAGACATTGACATGTGAAGCAATGAAGTGTCTCATTAAGAAAGTGTTCTCAAGAATTTACAGTTTCTAATTGTTACAATTTTATTTAAGGCAGTTTTTTTATAAAACGTTTCATGTCAAATGTTAAATAATTTTGTGTCTTCAAGTATGGATGGATCTTTGCTAGGTTAAAAACGTATAATCTTAAAATAAAATTAGTTGTGTAAGACGTACAGACCCGAGTTGTAACGTACCTGCTTTTTACTTCACAACATAATAATAAATACGGTAAAAGAATGTCAAAGTATTAGAAAAAAAACAATAGAAATAACTTGAAACTAGAAATGGCTTGTTACGTTTATATAAACTTCTGTGGTTTTTAAATGTAATTTTAAAGTTTATTTGTATTTTCTGACGTATAAAAAATTTAAATATTTTTGTTTAAAGTACTATAAACTAAAATAATTAAAATATAGCCTTACCTGTCGAATCGATTAATGTCACACAGGATAAACAAAGAAGGAATATAGGCACCATTTTATATGTTCTCTCGGTTTGAATGTTTATTGGATACTGACTACTGAGTTACTGACACAACATTTGGGTCTATTAATACGTATCATATATCGTTTATTATTTATATATATATGACTTGGAAATACCCTGGTAAATGTAAGCTACGCATAGTTTATTTTATTATTTAGACATTTCACATTGTTTCTAATAAAATTTTCTTTTTATCGCAAATATTTTTGATGATTTTTTAAAAATAAAATGAAATTACAGTAGTGTATATGGTATATAATAAAGCTTGGTAAACCGTGATGTTATAGAGAAGACACATGATTAGAAGGCATAGCAATAGGAGTTTAACCAAGTAGTTTTGACAAGTAATTTAACCAACGACCAGACAACCCCATATATCTCACTAGGAAGTGAGATTAGTTTACGTTCAAACGGTAAAATAGTCTATTATAGATCAAGGTATGCACTATAGTGATACAGCCAGGCTAAAGCTAAACAGCGATGTCTTTTATAAAAAGGAAATGTAGGAATATTTTCGTAAAACAATGTATTGATTACATATGATTTATTTTATTATAAGGAGATGGATATATTAATTAAATAATAATAATTAAATTAATTATAACGGACATTCAAGAATTGCAAAATAAAATTATCAAAGTAGGTACTGTTCCACTATAATTATCTTGCACCTACCATAATAGTAGGGGAGCCCAAGCCGGGATTTACTACAGACTGGAGGGCTGCAAAGTTGTAAAAAAAACGTCATCTGACTTTGAAATGACGCTCGAGTAAATCCCCATTTAGCATCATGCATAGCATACTATAAATATATATCGAGACACGAACTTAATGAATTTAAAACAACTTTATATTTATAATACATGTATTCTTTTCAAAAAAATTATACACTCCACACTAGCCTAACATTCTCCAAACCACAACAGTTGACTCGAAGTATAGAAGTATGCGTTGAACCTGTTATCTTGCATTACTTAAACTACGTACCAACTACGGCAAAAAAATGTTTACCTACGAAGGCGTACAGCTGTATAATAAATTACCCGCAAATATAAAAAATATTATTTCTTTCAATTCATTCAAATTGAAGCTTAGTGAATATGTTAGACTAAATTACTTTTAAATTAATTGCTTATAATTATTTTTAATTCATATTTCATAGGTTACTTTTAAGTTTATTGTATGTACAGCTAACTTTTTATCGTGATTATTGTAATGTTAATCTTAAGTATTATTGTCATGTAAGTGAAATTTTTGTCTTTTTTGAGAAATAAAGTCTTTAAACCTAATTATATGAATAGTGTGATTTATTTATCTTTTTCTTCGTGTTAAGCATTTTCCGTGCTACTTTTATTTTCACAAGGTGGTATAGGGTTCACAAAATATTCACAAATATCTTCCATAACGTCGTCACTTCTTATATATTTTGACCCATTTATCCATATATTTGGTACACCACGGATTTTTGCTTTACTTGTTTCCTCTCCGTAGTAATTAAAAAGTTCACTGCCTTTTTCACCTAGGGCACATTCTTTTATTCCATTTGAATCGTATCCCATGTTAGAGGCACACTGCAAAAAGATACCTCTACAATTTAGTATAAAAATGATACCTATTTTAACGTCTATCAAGTATTTTTTTAATTAGCGATACTATTAGCTTATAACTATTAATTTCTCTATGGCTTTGTGCTAAGTTTTTGTAACGAGCTAACAGTCTATTCTTCTTCCTATAGGTTATAAATAATGTGAGATTACACAAAAATAGGCAAATACCTTGTCAGCAGCTTTATCATCAGAACCCTTGTTTTCTTGTGATTCGTCCATCATACAATTGTTAAACAGGAGAGCAGCCGTATGGTTTTTAATTAAATCTAAAGCACAGGCGTGCAATTTATTACCATAACATTCATCAGGCCCATGTTGACACACATATTCAAATGTATTATTTGGGAGATGTAATCTCTGCAAAAATCATATTAATTGACAATGCTAGTAAAATAATTAAATTAATTTTTCTTTACATTAAATCTTGATTCAGAGCATTGATAACCCACATAAAATAAAATTTTACAAATTCAAAAAAAATGAAATAAAATAATACGGTAATGTCGATGAGCGAGAAGGCCCCAGCTCTGGGGTCTGGAATTGTTCACAGCGGCCCAAGAATCTCCAAAGGAACAAAATCAAAGTTAGAGGAAAGTCTTTAATATTTTTGGAAACAAGTTTTATATACTATTTATCCTATAATTTTTATCTTGATGGTCTTAATGGCTTTTCTTACATTATCGTGAATATATTTATTTACTTATTCTTAATACAGTAACATTAAGCTGATGACCGCAGTTTCGCGTTGCAAAGACAAAATTGTCGTTTGTATAAGCTATAAAATACATATTCGTTCCGCCATGCTACTCTTATTTTATTTTATGTTAACTTGCCGAAAATCTTCAGTCAATATTATACATTAAATCTATGAATAATATATAATATATCAGATACAAATTCGAATACCACCTGGAAGTATAATTTTATATTATAATTTAATCTTACACAAACATCTGCTAGTAAACTTACGTTAACATTTCCATATGGATAAGTTTGAATGTCCAAGTAGTGATGTAGCTTTTCAATAATTTCTCTAAAATGATCTGTTTCGAAATTCCTACAGTACGGGCAATGGGTTTCATAATAATATTTTATGTTTAATTTCGTGGGCTTCTCAATCTCCTGAAAATAAATAGCTTAAATATATTTAAGACTTCTCAGTATTGTCTGTTTTAATTATAGGAATAACGCGAGGAATCCGCACTGTTAGCCCATATAACGTCGGATTTTTTAAAATAGTGATAATAAAACACGTTTAAATCTTCCTAATGGTCTAAATTTTAATGGAAAATAAATATTAAGCAGAATTGGAATTGCGATTTTTTACTATTAGTTTATTAAATATAGCAATTAGATATCCCGATTAGATAGGTACTTAAAATAAATTCATTTATGTGGTGTGTATACACCTATAAAATCGACTTGTCAGTTAAAAGTTTAACTAAAATACAAATTTAGCTTAATCGATGTATAAAAGATTAAAAAATATGGAAAGATATTTTCTACCACGTTCTCATCATCTAGTTTTGTTTCATTTTTCTCCGTAATTTCGTTCGACTCTGTAAAGGATTACTTGTGCTTTAAATTTCAATATTTTATGTAAGAGATGAATATTGTATTAATGTTAATGTGAGAATAAAATAATTGCTTATTTATTTATGAAACAAAGAAATGCAAAGTTTAATGTTTTTGCGAAGTAAATTTTTAAATAAAACCGAGTTATAAAAAGAGCAAATAATAAATATTTTACCTGCTAATGCACTTATTATAAAAAAATTAACTAAAAACAAATAAATTATAGTCTTCATGTTAACTTCTATATCTTGTTAACAATGATGTCAAACTAACTCACATTTATTAGATATAATGTTATTATCAATCAAAGGTCATTAGCCATATCACAGATCAAACTTGCAAGTTCATTAGAACGAAGTGTTTTAAGTGTTTATATGATTTACCGCCCAAGCTCAGACGTTCTTGGTATTTTCAAAAGAAACTTCGAGGCGAAACTTTAGCTTGAAATTTCCCAGCTGGAATTTCGGAAAACGTCTCTTGACTATCTGATCACGTATACAAGTACAAAGAATATCAGCAATACAGATGTAAAATTATGCCTGTCCCTTAACCTATTTGGGACATTAATGTTGTATTATTTAATAAAAAAAAAGAACCAAATTTAACCAAAAGTTAAGTTTTTTTGCAAGTTGTTAAGTTAAAGCCCTTATTGATGTTACGAAAAACCATAATTCAATACACTTATTGGAAAACTTCGTACTCTTTTTCATAAATAACAATACGATGATTGCATAGGACATTCCTCACTTCGACTGGCTGTCATAAGACTGATTTAGGTTCTACGACTTTATTTCTTTGAATTTTGTTTCGGGTTAATGGAGGTTCATTTAAAAGGAAACTGCAGTTTTTATTTCAATTTATTGCGTATAAGGAAAAGGAACGTGTCCGAAACAAATCCTTTTTTAATTCTATTTATTATTTCACACGCCAACTGATTTCCACCACCTTCGACATGTATATAAATAATATCCAAGTACATATAGGAACGATATAATAATAACAAATATGCTCAAGTTACAAAATATCCTGACATTCTGTAGGGGGTTCAGCAAATGCTGCGCAAACATCACGCATAAAGTGTGTTCCGTCATTTTTGACACCATTTATGAGAATGTGTGGTACGTGCTTGAAATTTGCCTTTTTGCTTTCTTCGCCGCAGTATTTTAGAAGTTCAGTGCCTCTTATACCCTTAGCGCATTTCTTTATTGGTGTCGAGTCGATAAACAGAGCTTTGCCACACTGAAATTTTAACTAATTGATAAGTTGCTTTTATCTATATTTTCTTGATTTATCTTCATTAGAATAACTTATTAATATAATGTCTATCTAAGATTCAGGGAAAGTGAAATCGGTAAATTGTGAAGCTGATTAGTCACCGCACACAATAAATTACAAATATATGAACAGTAAGTAAAAGCAAAAATTTGTTTTGCTCTACTTAGTGGCATCACCGTGCGACTATCATCCCAGAGTGCGAACCCGTCGTGGGTTCGAACTAAGCCACTAAGTCAAAATTGCTCTATAGAATTTTAAAGGGGTCAATACTTTTAACTGTTGATCGATGTTGGAGATACACTGGGAACGAATAGACTTCCTATGTGCTCACACTACACTCACTCGCCCCGTGAAGGAAAATATCGTGAGGAGACCGGAATGCCTCAGACCCAAAAAGTCGCGTGTGTCTGGCGCAGATGGCAGATAACCTACTTTCATATTAGAAAAAACAAATGATCACAAAACAAATAAGAAATCTGGACCTTAAAAGGTTGTAGCGCTATTGGTTTCGTTTTCAAATTAATTGGCCTGGTTAAAAAGTCTTACCTTGTCAGCAGCGTTATCGTCAGAACCTTGATTGCTGTTGGAATACTTCATCATGCAAATATTATACTTCAAAGCATTGGTATTGGACTTTACAATATCCAGCGCACATGCATGTAACTTGTTCCCGTAGCATTCAGTAGGTCCATGTTGGCAAGTGAAATAGATTTTGTTATTCTTTTTAACTGTCTAAAAACCATAAAAAAATTAATTCTACCATATATATATTACCTGGACATAATGTGTGTAGTATTGGAGTCAATCTGAGTATTTTTGTAAAAAAATCATATAGTTTTAACCTGTACAATAATTATTGTGGTTGTCATTTACTTAAATTTCGGGTTAGTTATTGTTAATCGAATCCACGATGTAACGTCTAAAGATATCAGGTGATATGAGAGTACATTCTTAGTGTTAAGTAGACAAAAAGTTTCGGATTTTGGAGTCATAGATTGCGCTGTCTAAGTAATCTGGGCGATATAATGACTTTCTTATACTTACATTAGCATTACCATAGGGATAAGTATATATATCGAGATATCTTCCTAGTTTTTCTAAAACTGGGCTGAATGTTTCTGTGACGAATGATCGGCAGTGTGGACAAAAAACTTCGTAAAATACACTTATTCGTACTTTAGCCGGTTCTACAAATGTAAGGACCTGCAACAAACGCCAGAGTATATAATAGCAACACACTAATTTTCGGTAGATTTAGTACTTATAATACTACGAATAAAATGCTATTAATTTAAATTTGATAAATTAATGAACTATGAAGGTGTCAATTTGTTTAATCAAATTACTGTCAATGATTAAAGGTGGGAACTGACCAACGTTACGAGGTGTAATGTAACACGATACACAGCGAGCATTCGTGCAGTCAGTACGTCGTGTTACGGGGAAACAAGCGAGCAACGAGCCACTCGTTGCTCGCTTACGGCCAAAATTAATAATGTATCCTCAATCTATGATTAAAACCAATCTTGGACTGATTCATATCTAAAGACCGATCTCCAATCTGCATGCCGATAAACATTTCTGCTATCCGATTGTTTATTTGACAAAAGATTGACAGCAATCATTTGCGTGATCCTTCCCTCTCGACCGCGTTTCGTTCAATGCAATATATTGTGTTCAAGCATACCAAAAGTTTGCTGTTTTTGGAACGAAATAAAATAAGTAAGACTTAGGGTCTGTTTCACAATGTATGAATAAAGTAGCAAATAGCTATGCAACGTTTTTGTTTGTTTTTTTGTTACGAACAAATAAAGTTACAAAATTCTATAGAAAAACATAGAACCTTAACCTTTTTGTTGGTCATTTAATATTACTTGTAACGAAACGGGCTGTCATTTTCATATGGTTTGTTAGGTTATTGAATATTTTAGTATATATTTTAGTGCGGCGCCTTCGGCTTTACCTTTCAAATATAAATTTTCTCTGAGTAGTTTGTGTATGTTGTTTTTGTGATACGAGGTTGGTTCTTTAACTTAAAAAAATGTCTACGCAAAAACGTGAAAGAAGCGTCAATTTCAGCCGGGAAGAAGTTGACCTTCTAACTTCGCTTGTTGCTGACCATAAAAATATATTAGAAAATAAAAAGAGTGACTCAGTCACCTGGCAGGAGAAAGAGCAGTGCTGGAAGACGCTGGAGGCGCTGTTTAATAGCACAAGTGGGGTAAACTTTCGCAGTGCTAAAGCTTAAAGAGGGCTACAAGAAAAAAGTCTGCCTTGATACATGCTGAAACATATCGTACAGGAGGTGGCCCTAGTGCTGCTACTCCTCTTACCCCTATCGAGGAAAAAGTCAAAGACATGATATTGTTGTCTGTCGAAGGAATTGAAAGTCAATTAAAAGGAAGAGCTTCTAAATAAGAGAAAGCAATGGGCATTTGAAGAGGAAGCAAGAGAGCATAAAAGAGAATTATGGGCCATAGAAAAAAATATATTGTTAAATAAATTAGAAAAATAATAGATTTTGTGCCTGGAGCAAGGATGTATTGTATTAAAAATTTGTATTTTTATTTGAATAAAAGCATTGAATTTTTATTTAATTTATCTCAAAAATGTTGTAATTTATAAAATATTATAGTAATAAAGCAAAATAATCACTTATAAGATTACTTCGCACACTTGCATTTCCCACGTTGTCAATTGCGCTTTGATCAATATCATTAGCTGGTTCATCATCATTAATTCTTGTCTTCTTATGTCTTCGCACAGAAGTACGTTGTCTTCTTCCAGCTTCAGAACTACTATCCCAATCGGATAATTGCATTTAAACTTCCAAATCACTATCACTAGAACTGGAAGATGACGAAGATGAATAAATTTTCCCAATGAATATTAAGTTAGGTCGGAATCCCAAACCCAAATCATACGAGTTTCACCGATAGCAATCCGAGATTGATTTGGCCAATCGAAGCAATTGTCAAAATGGACAGATAGGTTGTTGGCATGATGAGTAAACATTCATTTTCATACAGAGGGCAATCTTCAATCTCTTATCCGCCCTCTGAACGATTGGTTGAATAATTAGATTGGTATCTCAGTCCATGGATTTAATATTGGCATGGTTTTCTTTAGAAATCGATTGAATTGTCAGTCTATGACAGCTAAAATTGGATTGAGATTGCATATTGGTTTTGGCCGTTAGAGTGCTCCACCCGGCTGTCGGTTTTTTGGCGAATCCTTTGACTGTTACGCGGTTCAATTAGTACGCGTCGCACGTCGCGAGTGATCATGATTATGATTTTCTAAAATTGTGTCTTTTTTAAGTACTTTTGGTCCAATTCAATTCACGAGTTGTTCAAAATCGATAGGAGACATGCGTACAAAGTTTTTATACTATCCAGTAATCATTTGGTTTTTTAAAATTGCTATCAATGACAAACCACTTTAAATAAGTTATATACGTTTTTAAATAAGTTTGATGTCCGGTAACGTTTTTTCTTCTTCTTAATTTGGATGAAACAATAATTAAGTAGAATCAAAGATACCAACGCGTCCTCGCTTTCGGACATCTCGTGAACACTGTTGGCGAAAGCGGAGCACAGAGTTTTGACGAGCATGTTACGCCGATTTTAAAACACAGCGTAACATGCTCGATGCGTGACACGCTCGATGCGAATGCTACATTACACCTCGTAACTTTGGTCAGTTCCCACCTTTAAAAAAATATTTACTTATTTTGTAAATTAAAAAATTGCCCACAATAGTTTCAAAATATTAAACTGCCCGAGATTGTATTCTTTACATCATAATAATTCAGAAACTACTTGAACAATGTCTGAATTGCATCACGGTTTGAATGAAATTATTTCTAAATAAATAGGCTATATTTATTTTATAAATATCTAGTCATAGTGCGTGTAGGCCCGGACAAGCCGGTACAATATTAATAGATTCTTGTTTAATTTTTTTTTAAATTCCGTATAAAAATATAATGTCACTATTAAATAATATTCTCTCAATGGTGTACGAACAAGCTTTCAATAAAGAACATAGATGTGTTTGAATGAATGATAGAGTATGGCACAAAGGTCTCTTGTATGAAGTAAAAACTCTTCTACCCTGTACCTTCTTCCCCATAATTAAATCTTATCTAACAGAAAGAATATTTCAAGTAAGAGAAGAAGATTGTACATCGCCATTTCACTCAATCAAAGCTGGAGTACCGCAGGGGTCTGTCCTGGGCCCAGTCTTATATACCATTTACACATGTGATTTACCACAAAGCGAACACGTCACATTAGCAACATTCGCTGACGATACTGCTGTACTGGCATGTAGCCCAATCGAAGCTTCAGACTTCCTACAGACTGTATTGCAAGAAATTGAAACCTGGCTTTCAAAGTGGAAAATAAAAACTAGTGTGACAAAATCCGTTCATGTAACCTTCACTCTCCGTAGAGGAGACTGTCCGCCAGTAACTCTGTGCAATCAACAACTTCCGCAAGAAAACTGTGTAAAATACTTGGGAATACACCTTGATAGGAGACTCGTATGGAAACAACACATACAGAAGAAGAGAGAAGCAATCAACCTGAAATACAGAGGACTCTACTGGCTTCTTGGCAGAAATTCCAAACTCTCAGTAGATAATAAGCTACTCATCTACGAAATGCTCTTGAAACCAATTTGGACATACGGGATTCAACTATGGGGTTCGGCGTGTGACTCTAACATAAGTATCATACAGAGGGTTCAAAATTACATCTTGAAACAAATATCCAACTGTCCGTGGCTTATAAAAACATCGGAGATTCATGAGCACCTCAAAATCAGGACTGTCAAAGAGGAGATCAAGACCTGGAGTATGAAATACAGAAAAAGGCTAGAAATGCATCCTAATAAGCTTGCCACGCAACTAACCATACCTGACCTAATAAATAGGCTTAAAAGGCGACAAATCCTAAGTCTTGATAGACATGGTTGAAAGAGAGGAGCAGTCTCGATGGAGATTTTGCTCTGAACGTCTAACAGCTCTCAACACAGCTGACAGATTGCACGATAAAGACTTATATATAAAATAAAAAAAATGTGTTTGAAGTTTTTAAAAAAAACTTTGAAAAAGTTAGTAGATATTATTTTAAATTTATTAAACTTTCATTGACTTTGACTGACACGAAAAGGTGAATTATTTGTCAACCTCACACACCTACCTGTTTTGAATCTTCTTCAGAACCATTACCCGGCCTATAGAAGTCGGAAGCGGCATAATAGTAGTCTGGAAATAACAAAAAACCTTTAAAACTTGCACTTATAGTAAGTATACAGCATAGAATCAACTCATAAACACCAATACGTGTGTTTATGAGTTGCATAAATTATGTAAAAAGCACTATAAGCGAACTGTTTTCAACGTTGTGTATATAAAAAAATATGTTAAAGAAAAAGTTGTAAGGTCAAAATAATAGATTAAAATTGGAAAGGAACTAGAAACTGAGTCATAATAAATCATAAAAAAATTCATCCAATGGTAATACGTATGAGTTCTACTGTTCAGACACTGTTCTATGAGAAAGTTATAAAGAGATTACGAGTATAATACTGGTTTTAGCAGTCTTTCGTAACCCCTTTACCTCAATGATTATTTTACATTACTTAAAACGGACCTACCCAAACTAATAGCATTACACTTCACCGTTACACAAACAAAAGTAACAATTATAATTATTAACTTCATGTTAATGTTTAACATGTAACAATGTTTAATACATCAACAAATAATACTTATATATAAAAACTAATATTACGCAAATAAGTAAAAATATTTAAGAACTCATTACTTTTATTGTTTCTTTAAATAATTCAAATTTCAGACGCGTGTTGAATTCTTCCATAGAAATATTTTTATTATAACGATTTACGTAATCGTTTCCATATGACTAAAATATTTTCTATGTATTCACTTCGCTTGATTTTAGTATAAAGCTCATAGCGCATAATATAATCTACTTATGCGCTATAATAAACATATTGATTTATCTAGGGTCCTCATTATACTTTGTACGTCGAGGGAGATCCGAGAGGACTACAACTATGTGAAGTCAGACCAAATTTATCTAAGGGTCCTTAATAATAATCAAACCATATCAATTGCTGAGATAAGTGATCATTGTTAGTTTTCCACTTATTTGCCCTAAGCGAAGGAAACACTGGTCTATATCTATCAATTACCTTTAAATTTTATCCATTTTTCAAAGTTTTACAGTTTAACAAAATTTTTGTTTTGATCCTTAAATTACATTAGTATTTGCAAAGTCCTACACATTACATTATACGGATTTATATTTGGATTTTACCCGAACCGAAATATGTCTTAAAATAGAAATTTTGGTTAAGGAAAATTACGTTATTGAACAGTACTATCGTAAATCTACATGAAACCGACACACGTCAGCTCGAATAAATATCAACAATAGAAAACATTCTCCATCCTTTATGATAAAACGTCGTTTGATATCCTATCTTTACAGGTTTTTGTCACATAAGTAAACCTCTTAAAAGCCTGGTTGAAGGCCTGAAAGGATGTTCAGGTATGAACAGAATTTCGATGATTATACTCAAGTACTTGTGTCGGCTCCATCATTGTTCGCCGAAGTACCGGCTAAGAATGGCTCTAGTTACAAGGATTAAGCTAGACGTTTGCACCACCACCGTATAACTTTGTAAGCGCAACCCTTTCACACACAGTTTAATAAAATTACAACTAAAATCCTTTTAGCAATTAAGCTGCCAGATCCTGTTTGAGCTCACGCTTTTATTTGATCCTTTAACTCTCACAAAGGCAAATTACTTTAGAATACTTTTTGTTATTTTTTACCTTAATTAATGTATGTATTTATAAAGGCGCATATATCATTTTTTTAAAGATATATATATTATATATATTTATATATATTGGAGCAGGTTTGGCTTAGTGGCATCAGCGTGTTAGTCTCATTCCCGAGGTCGTAGGTTCGATCCCCGGCTGTGCACCAATAGACTTTCTTTCTATGTGCGCATTTAACATTCCCTCGATCCGTGAAGGAAAACATCGTGAGGAAACCGGCTGACTTTAGACCCAAAACGTCGACGGCGTGCGTCAGGAAACAGGAGGCTGATCACCTGCTAGCCTATTAACAAATGATCATGAAATAGATACAGAAATTTTGAGGCCCTGACTTAAAAAGGTGTAGCGCCACTGATTTATTTATATATATGTATTATATAAATAGTTTATACCTCGTTAATTTAAACTCTAGATAGTATAACTATTGCTATAAGGTGGGAGAGAAATTAAGTTAGTCTGTTGCAGATACCAAATGTACACTTCACCGTAGAGTATACAAATATTGTTTAAGTTTGAAAGTTTAGAATATTATAGTTTTGTATTAAATTATCAAGAACATGAAGCTTTTAAATGCTCAATATGAAACAAACAAACAAGCATACTTTAAAAAACCAAGCTCTTTCTAAGAGTCCGTTTAATTTTAAAATTTACTATTCTCCATGTTGTTTGGAGATCAGTTCACTATAATAAGATAGTCAAATTTACAAGTGAAAAGAAAAGAAAAATTCAATACCAAATAATTGCATTTTGATTTCGCTTTACGGCCGATACAGATGTAGCGAAGCAATGAAACCTATAAGCAAATATTATTACGGGAGCAGATCTGAAAAATTCAATTTCAGACGTGATCTATCTCCGGAGTTGATCATACCTTTCCAATAACTGATTTCAGCGTCATTTTTCATTCGCAATTTGTGATTATTTTTCGATTTCTAATATCTATACATTTTTGATTACTGATTGATTGCCTGCTACTTTATATTTCGTTATACCATGTGACTCTGATATTAATCGAAGACGGTTTCACACAGCTAATGTCATGTCCTAGAGATTAGTTTCGTTGAGTCATTTCTCCAACTATGGCTGGGTTCTATTTAGTTGGGCCCAAAGACTGGAGATGCTTATTGCTTAGTCGACACTTTCCTTAACAGAGCATAAAGCTCATAATAAAATTTATTTAATCATTCTGGTAACTTTTTTCACTTTTGAACATCAATATTTATCAAAATATTAAGTACAAAGTGGAAATGGCGTTGAAGGCCGCTATATTATTTGTTTTAACTTAATCTTAATTTCTCAGGTAAGTATTACGATTCAGACACAATTTTACTTGTATTGTAATGTAGATGTATCTACGATACAAATATAAAAATAATGGTAATATGTATGCCAGGTATCAATATATCCAAACCACTGGACTAAATACAAATTCTTAACCATAATATGGTTTAATTTGTATTTTCACACTAAATGCGCACCTGCCGCTATCCAAGTAATGAGATTTAATTTCAATTAGAGCCAGGCTCGAAATCAACTCTGCCTCGAAGCCTTGAAGCGCCCCTAATGGCATGATTTACATCCAGTTTTATTAACGTAAACAGTTAATGAAACGGAAAGCGATTTCTAATGGACAATTAATATTTTCACAAAGCCATAGACATATGTAGAGGCATTTATAAAAAAATAGAGATGGACAGTAATTGCAGTGTATAAGATTGTGTCGTGTTAAGGCTGTAGTTTTTTTTCGCTTTATGTGGTTGCAGAATTTGTTTTTAGGAACAAAACAACTAGACTGTATAGTGCAATTCTCTATACTTACACTATACACGATAGAACTTTTTTACTCACCCCGCTGGCTTTGCAACCCAAAAAGTGTATAGGCCTCCGAAATGAGAATTTTCCAGTGCTCCCTGGCCTGTGCCACCTCCCACCATTTGCCTAGCTTTCAGCTGCAGCAAGTCCTCATCCACTCTGACGATCCAGCGGTACCTTGGCCACCCTACTGGTCTCCACACCAGGCAAGCTCAAGTAATTTTAAATATTATATTTCTATACATATATAAATATTTAGAAAACTCTCATATAACGAAACCAGATAAACAGATTTTTCGTAAAAGGTGAATCAAACATCGTTTATAATAATATCGAGAAGTTTTATAATATGGGAGAAAATTGTATGTTACGTTTATTACGAGATACACCCTAATTTTTCCGTAATGCTTTCGACTTCTCATGTAAAATTCAGCTTTCCATCTTCGGTCGATATCGTTAGTATATTATATGCGTTTATTTTAAAACTTAGCGCAAGTTAAGGTAGATCAGAGAAAATGTCGCCGCATTTTAATGTTTTATTCATCTCGTTATGATTCGAATAAATATTCTTGCTTCGTCTAGACAATCGCTGAATCTATTCTGAACTATACAAACCCTATCTCAAGCCTTCATAGATAGTGTAGAATTATTGCCATCATATCTTGTTAAATTGGCGGAAAATTTTGGCTTTTCAAACCTCCGAATGGGCAATAAATATTTCATGAGGCTTTAATAAATATTGCTTTTTAGTATCAGCACACTTATTGTTACGCTAGGTAGGTTTTTATCGTGTATAAAAAATGTCTTGAATTAAACAGGCCAAAATATATACTCTGGCTATACTTTTAGATGGTTGCGAAAGCAGATTGCACGTTCACGTGTCTATTACGTAAAATTATAAAACAGATGCAGAATTTGGTATACGAGCGGTTTCGACTGTTGGAAAAGATTAAAATAGTTATGACTATAGTACAAGCGCGCGTAGTTTAGTTTTTCAATACTAAACTGATGACCGTGCCTTATAAAAAGTTGTATCATTAAATACCAACCTGAACCACTCACACGTTTAATGTGGTTTTCGTTTTATTATTGAAATAAAAAATGTACTTCACGAGTTGCGTGTGTTACACTCTCTGGGGAGATTTCCTCCATTTCCAAGGAAATTGTATTTTTCTAATAAACTGACGTCAATTTACCACAGCTCTAGATTATTTATATTACAGATTGAAGGGAAAAATTTCTAAAAAAGCTTTTGACATATAATGTATCATTTTGCTACATCTTTAATTTCTTATATTTTAACGAAAACTTTATATATATCTGAAAATCGAATAACGGGCAAGATGTTAAGTGATAAGTGCCGCCTATGGACACTTACACTGTCAGAAGGCTCGCAAGTGCGTTTCCGGCCTTTTGAGAATTGTTACACTCTTTTCTTAAAAGACCATAGGTCAATATTTATATGTTGTAAGTTATTTATTATTTTCTTTTATACCATCTAACACATAGAGCTAACATATAATTAGCACATAGTACTTAATAATAAATCTCTCTCTGACTACTTACGGGGGCTGTCTCAACTCATGCATTTAATGTAAAATTTGTGATACAAATAAACATTTTCATTTTCAATAAATAAATAATAATTAAAAATAATAAAAAAAAAATTTAATATCATCAAAAATCTATAAGTTATTGAACCCTGCGTTTAATTAGATTAATCGGCTAATTCGAGGTTGGATACCGGCTGGGTCGGCTACCCCGCCATTTTTGTATACTGAGTGAACTTTGAATCCACTTTAAGAAAATTCTAAGTTCAAATTTATGGTTGGATATTGACTTAATTCCCGTAACCTAGCATGCCGTATATCTTTATTTCTAAGTTCTTTTAAGTTCTTTTGCTTTATTTTATATTTAATTTATCCCGAAATTTTTTAAATATCGTTGTGAATCGACATGCATTAATTAAGGAATAAAGAAAAATACACTTAGATCAAAATTGCGTAGCAATTAAAGTCACAAAAATAATTTACCAAGGT